GCCACTCGGCCGGCCCTAAATATCCTAATTTTAACTATACAATGAGTTGAGAATTTTTTCCTATTTATGTTCCATAAGAGTTACTTAAAGTCTTGGTAGAACTCATCCATAATCCCATTCGGGTTGGGTGCCTTTTGGGGGGTAGATTTTTGACAATCTTTCCTATTTTTCTCTGGTTTTTAGTCTTTTCAGATTTCCTACCTCTTTTTGAGTAGATTTCAACCCCCTATACTTTCCTAGAAACTTATCCATTTTACCTAGATTTTAAACTGTGTTGCTATGAAGTTGTTCAATTCCACTTGATCTAAAATTTTTCTTTTATTATAGTACTTTGCATTTCTCATTCTTAATATTATTTATGCTTCTCAGATTTTTCAGTGGTTTATTTTATAGATATTTTCAAAAAAAAGTTTGATTTTAGTGATCAAATTTTACTTTTTATAAATCTCTTCCTTTTGGAGGGTTTATTTTGTTGTTTTTCTGCCTATTTTGAATACTTAGTTTATTGAGTTTGAACTTTTCCCCCTAAAAGAATACATTTTAAGACTGTAACTTTTCCTGAAAGTACTGCTGTAGCTGCATTATATTGATTTTCATATGTTGTTCTTTCATTTATTATCCACTTGTAAATTATCCCTAGTTTCTCTTTTCATTTCCTACTTAACCTAAAACTTATTTAGACGAGTGTTAAAATTTTCAATTAGATTATGCTATTTTCTTGCTATCTTAATTTTTAGTGATCAGAGAATGTAGATGGTGTAATTTTTTAAAGACTACTTTTAAGAGCAGTTTTAGGTTCACAGCAAAATTGAGAGGAAGATATGGAGAGTTCCCATACACCCGTCCCCACATGTGCATAGTCTGCCCCATTGTCAACATCCCCCGCTGGATGCTGCAATTGATGAACCTACATTGAGTTTTCCTATCCATGAACATGGAATACCTCTCCACTTATCTAGTTCTTTCATTTCATACATCAGAGTTTTGTAGTTGTTCTCATACAGGTCTTGTACATATTTTGTTAGATTCTACCTAAGTATTTCATTTGGTGGAGGTACCCTAATATAAATGGTATTGTGTTTTAAATTTTAAATGCCGCTTGTTCATTGCTGGTATACAGGAAAGCAATTGACTTTGCATATTAACTTTGTATTCTGCAACCTCACTATAATTTCTTATTAGCTCCAGTAGTTTCTTTTGGTCAATTCTCTAGGATTTTCTATAGATGATCATGTCATCTGTGAACAAAGACAGTTTTATTCTTTTCCTTTCCAGTCTCTATACCTTTTATTAGGTTGTTGTAAAAGTCATGACATATTTTGTCTATGTTTTTCAAAGGTCATTTATATAAAGAACAAAGGTCAATGATCTATTGCCTGTTTGTTCGATAACCTTTTGCCATCTTTCAGCGAGCTTCATAATTCCTCCTTCATAGAAGAACCTGTCTTTATTTGCGAAAAACTGAACAAAGTGCTGATTTACAGCCTCATCTGACTTGAACATTATACCACACAAGGAGTTTTGAAGAAAGCAAAACAAATGGAAGTCTGACAGCACAAGGTCAGAGGAGTATGGTGGGTGTCGCAACACATCCCATCCCAACACATCCCAACTCCAGTAATTTTTGATGGGTGATCAAACTCATGTGTGGTCTCGCATTGTCGCAATGGAACACAACTCCTTTACAGTTAACAAGCTCTGGACGTTTCTGGATAATGGATTCATTCAAACTGTCCAATTGCCAACAGTACACATTTGAATTGATTGTTTGGTTCCTTGTTAGGAGCTCAAAAAACACAGCACCTTTAAAATCCCACCACACTGAGAGCATAACCTTCCTCTGATGAATGTCTGCTTTCGATGTCGTTTGAGGCGAGTCATCATGTCAGGACCAAGACCGTTTGCACACCACATTGTTGTAAACAATCCACTTCTCATCACCAGTTATCAGTCGCTTCAAAAAAGGATCGTTTTCTTCACGTTTAATGAGCATATTGCAGATGTTTATATGTGCCATCAAATGAACTTCTTTGAGTTCATGCAGAACCCAAATATCGAGCTTGCTTATGTATCCCAGCTTCTTCAGGTGGTCGTGAACGCTTGACTGATGGATGTTCATTGTTTCTGCAGTCTCTCGTGTCGTGTAACGTGGGTTTGACTCGATCAATGCCTTTATTTTGTCGTCATCCACCTCGGTGGGCCTCCCTGACCGAGGAGCATTGTTGAGATCAAAATCACCAGCACAGAATTTTGAGAACCATCGTCGGCACTGACGTTCTTGTAGAGCATTGTCACCGTAAACTTATGCAACTTTTCACAAGCTTGATGTGTGTTCTTCCCTTTATGGAAGTAAAACAGTAAAATATGGCAAAAATGCACAGTTTGGTTTTCCATCTTCAACTTGTAAAATCTCCAAAACTCAACCAAATCGCTCAATTTTTTTTTTGAATGGAGCTAGAACTGTCAGCTGTCAAATGACATAGCAATAACATAGATGCGAATGACTCTAGTACTTCCAAAAATGAACTAGTGTCATCTGTTGCAAACATGCATCATGACTTTTCTGACAACCCAATATTTCCCTTTCCTGTCTTATTACATTAGCTAGGACTTCCAGTACAATATTGAGTGGCGAGAAGGGATATCCTTGACTTGTTCTTGACCTTAGTGGGAAAGCAGTGGTATAATTTTTAATATTTTGGAATTTGTTTAAATTTTTCTTTGTGAATACGAGGTAAGCTTATGTAAATGTAATGCATTTGAGGAAAATAGATTCTCTTTGTTGTGTGAAATATATATTTATATTCACATGTATTTAGACACATGTTTATATACACATACACATACATTCATATTTCTATAGATCAAGTTTGTTAATTATTCAGATATGTCATGTCCTTTCTCTTTTTCAATTGATATAAAAAAATGATTTCCATAGAATCATAGCTCTTAGGATTGGAAAGGACCTCAAAATAATCAGATCAAGATAAGCAAAGTATTGTTTTGCCCTGTTATAGTTGAGACACTGAAAGAAGTATAGAAAGATTAAGTGATTTATCCAAGGATACACAGCTAATGAATAACAAAATAAGGGTTAGAGCCCAGGTCTATGGAGTAAAACTATAAACAGGATGCCTGTCAGGGAGGGTGTCCATTGTCCTTCCTGTCTAAAGACAGACCACATTAATAATATAGATCAACAGTATATTCAAGGACTGTTGTTACAAATTAGAATGTTGACTTCATAAGATGCCTGTCTGTTTATGTTTACTTAGAAAAGTGGAAGGTGAAATCTTCAAGTTGGAGATGCTACTTGAAGATGTTAAAGAGAAAATTGATGAAGGCAAACAAACTTCAATGAGCTCTCTTCCCGTCAGTTCTCCAACCACCCTGGATGACTTGGCATCCACACCCTCTCCACCCACAAATGAGGTAATACAGAAACCTGCAGCCTATTTTCATGCCAGGAAAAGTGGGGTTTGTGCATTTATAGAATTCTAATTCATGGAATCACTGAGTTGTATTTTAATATTTAACTTTCTAAAGTCCCATGAATCATATTATTTAAAATGAACCAGCTTTTAAAAAATCAGAAGTGATTTCAAGTGTAGGTTTTTGAAACATCTTATTAGTTTAGGCTGTAACAATGCAGTTTAAACCCATGAACTGCTGAAGAGCTATTTCTTCTGGATAAATAGTAACATTTTTTGTAAATTGTGCCTGGAAGAAATAATTTTTCTTCTTAATGGTTTTGTACTCCCTCTTCTAAATAAAGAATAACACACTCAGTGAAAAAACCATTTCCATTAATCTACTTCTGGATTTTCTTTCTCTCAAGTTAAATTCTTTTGTCTACATATGCAGGATTAGGAATTCAAATCAATCACCACTGTCTTTCTACCCTTTTTTGTTTTTGTAGCCTCAGCCATCAGAACATTTCAGACTAAATTAAAATTCTGAGAAACTGAATCATCTGGGTAATTGCCTTAAATTGATTCTTTTGTTTCAGACAGTATTGGAAGACACAGCCTGTGTCTGCTATTCAAAACTTGAATAGCTTTTTGTCAGAGTTAACTACAAGATGTTGAAGATTATATAAATGTTAGCCCTTCCAAAGAAGTGTGTTTGCCTTCTCAAAACACTTACCTGCCTGGCAAAATCTCATCATTCAAAGCCCAGCTTCAGAGTTAGACCATTTATATAACCTTCACACTCAGCCCCACTCCCTCCACCCCCACCCCCACCACACAGCGGGCAGAATTCTTTGCTCTGTTCTCTGTGTCCCCACAACACTGTGTCTCATTTGTCATTGTGCCTTTGTACCTGTTTTGTATCCTAAACATCTGATGGAATGCCTTGTACGGAGTGAATGTTCAGCATAGGGGACTCTGTGCCAGTGTGGTTTCAATAAATGATTTCAATGCTTCAGAAGCAGTCCCAAGGTTCACAGCAATGGTATCCCTCTAGTCCAGCGCCCAAATAAGTGTCAAGGGTGTGAGGGAGCCCTGTGAGTCAGCCTAGCCTTCCGCCCAGCCGCTCCCTCAGGTCTGGGTTTGCTCTTCTTTACTATGCAAATTTTATAGTCTCAAGTTTATTGCAACTGTTGTGAAGTGATGAAAACTCTATAACTTGGTGATAAGTAGCCCTGAAAAGAGAGTCTACTGCTTGTATTATTCATTCATTCAGCAAATATGTATTGCTAAATGCTAGGCAATTTTCTAGGTATTGGGAAAAATAAACATAATCAAGGCAGACAATCACCTGCCCTCGAGATGCTTCCCTCTCTATGAGGGACACACACAATGTACAAATACAATTAACATGTAAGTACAGATTGTTAAGAGGGCTGTGCTGCAAATAATAATACATTCCTTATGATTTTGAAGCCAGTCTGCCTGGGTCCATATTCTGACTCTGTCACTTATCAGCTTTGTGACCTTGGGAAAGTTACATAACCTCTCCTTGCCTCAATTTCCTCTTCTGTAAAATGGGGATAATTCCTGACTAATCTTCCAACTCCTCTTCTGCAAAGCGTCTTTGCAAACCGTAAGGCTCTGAACCAACAGAATTATTGTTTACTGCTTATAATTTTGTCGTTACTATTTTAGACTCAGTATTTCCCATTTGTAATGAAATAAGCTCCAATTGCTTTCCATAGAGCAGCGCTCAGGCACCACTTGGGAGCTTGTTAGAAGTGGTTATTAGGTCCAAATGAGTTAATGGAGGAAAAGTGCTTACAACAGGGCCCGGAGCATAGTAAGCACATTACCTGGCTGTTAACTACCCTGACTATTAAGTAATGTGATATGACCAAAAGTAACTAAGTGTGTGTGTGTGTGTGTGTGTGTGGGGTCACTAGGGAGAGATGGTGGGGGCAGGTTTTTCACAGGAGGTCAGATCTGAACTGGGTTCTGGGGGACAAGAAGGAGGCAGCTAGGGGACAAGTCTGGAAAAGGGACTGCAGGCAGGATGTAATGGTGCCGTAGGGGTGGCCGGAATGGGGAAAAGATTTTGAGTCACCTCCCGCGGGTCTGCAGCCTTAACGGCAAGACCGTGTGCGGACCACAGATTCCGGCCGTCCTTCGGGCCCTGGGCCCGTGAGGGCGTGGGGGACAGGGCGTCACCGCAAGGCCAAGGCCTCAGGAGGTCCCCTCCTCCTAGGACTTGAGTCCCCGCCCCGCAGTCCCTGGCCAGGAGGGCAGCGACAGGCCCCCTCCTACGCAGCCCCGCCCCGGAAGGTCCGAGAGGCTCCACCAAGAAGCGCACCTGCACCGAAGGTTCCCGGGCTCCCCCGCGGCGCCCCAGTAACCCTATGCGGGAGGGAGGGCAGGAAAACGGCGAGTTGGCCACATGATATCCCCACCGCCCTCTTCCTCAGGTTGCTCCTTCCCACCTTCCCAGGAATGCTGAATTTAAATTCCTTACGACTCTTCACCAGATTAAAGAAAAACCAAATAATCCCCCAATGCGGGGCTCCAGGTAGCGCAAGCACTGATTCCAAAAGTCAAACTGCCCTCCCCCGCCCTTTTTAAAAACCAGACCAACCAGATCAAAAGGCCTCGGGGTCATCTTCTGATTCCTGGATAATGTCCAGCAGCCCAGTCCACTGTTCACTCACTTCATGCCGTTGACTCCTTACCCGGAACGTGCTGCGACCCTGAAATCATCTGGCCCTTTATTAACTGGCATCCTGGGTGTTAGTGCTGGTGAGAGCTGCGGCCCTGCTAGCATTCCCCAGTCTTTCAGGGCTTCTCCAACCGCAGGGAGCCTTGGCATCACCTGTGGGACTTGCTGAACCTCAGGCTAATTCTGTAGGTCCAGGGTGAGCCTGCAATTCTGCATTTTTAACGCGCTCCCAGGTGATGCCAATGCTGCTGCCTGGGGGCCACACTTGGAGATGATGACATTATCAGTGAATTGGAAACACTGGGATTAAAAACCCTTGGGTCTAAAATGATAATGACAAAATTATAATAAGCAGTAAGCACTAATAATTCTGTTGGTTCAGAGCTTTACAGTGCAAAGACTTTTTGCAGGAGTTGAAAGCTTCGAAAGGTGAGGAGACTTGCCCAAGGCAAATGACAGAAGACACTGGATCCCAAGTTTTCCAACTTAGGGAGACTCTCCTCTCCTCCTACACTATACTAATGTAAATCTACCTTAAATGTGGTGCTGGGGTACCCCTGTAGGCCTGGAAGTGATAAAAGAAGGCACGGGGAGACATAGAAGGAGGGGACTTTATTTTTTAAATTACAAGAGCTATATATATTTATGACCCCCCCAAAAAAATCAGAAAATAGAGAAAAGTATAAAGAATAGTTCACTGAGAGGATATTACTGATAGTTTAGTATCTATCTGTCCAGTCTTTTTTTCTCTGCACCACACATAACACATTTTTGCAAAAACGGGATCCTACTATATGTACTGTTTTATGATTTACTCTTTTGATTTAACATTGTTTTATGGGGCTCTCAACACATCACTAAGAATAAACCTACAAACTCATTTTTAAGGACTGCATTGTACTTCTTTACATAGATGTACCCTGATTCATTTTACCAATCTGTTTCTGATGGACATTTAATTTTTTCCAGTTCTTTGATATTATAAACACTTCCTCAGGTAACATCATTTTATATGCAAACTTTTCCCATAGTTATCTCCTTAGAATAAAAACCTAAGAGTGCAGTAAGTGGTTCAGAAAGTATACACTGAAAATTCTGATCAACTGGCCTCAGAAAGGTGGTGCCAGTTTACATGCTCACAGCGGTGCTGGGGAAGGTAGGTGCTTCCAACCTGATCCCACCTGGATATTTGTTTCTTTCTAATCTTTGCTAAAGTGATAAGTGGAAACTGGCATCTCATTGATCTAATCTGTATTTCTTTGACTATTTGTGAAATTTAACCCATTTTCCTATGTTTCTTGGCCATTTCCACCTCTGCTTTGACAACATCAACATTTTAAACTTGTGTTTGCAAAACTGAAACTACAGTCAACTTTTTTTTTCAAAGGCAGACAACTGGGAAAATATTAAGAACAAATAAAGTTCAATGTTGAGATTTTTATTATACAAAATGCTCTGACAAGTGCACTAAGGAGCAGAACTGTGGTTAAGAACGCAAGCGTGTGGATAAAGGGGCCAATCCTAGCTCTGCCCTTACCCTCTGTATGACCTTGCCGAGTTGCTTAAATTCTCTGTGCCTCACATTATTCACCATTAAAATAGGGACAACGTGCCAGGATGGTGGGAAGGAATAAAAGAGGCCACATGAGAAGTACCTGGCATAATGAGCAATCAGCAAATGGTTGTTTTTCTTAATAAGGAACACTGAAACCCTCCAAAAAATTAATGGATCAAACAGATAAACGAAAAAGTCACAAGTAGGAAACACAACTAATAAATAAGCGTATGGGAAAACATTTATCTCCTTTAATAACAAAGAAAATGCTAATTAATACAAGGTGCCACCGCTCCCCTTTAAAATGAACAAAGACATTTTCGAGTGGTAATTCCTGATGCAGAGAAAAGTGTTGTCAAACCCAGTGGCCCACATTTTTGGTGGCTGTGTAATTCATACAACTTTTGTGGAAAGCATTTGGCAATTCGTATCATCACACAAACATGTTCGCAACCTTTGACCCAGACATTTCCTTAGGAAGTAATTCAAATATGGAAAAAGCTATCCATACAATGATGCTTATGCTGGCCTGGTTTATGATGGTGAGAAAAGTGTTTTCTTTTCTGTTTATGTAAAGGGTAAAACTATAGTAACAAACACATTCTGGGTGGTATCAGCCCTTTCAGGTCAGTAGTGTCATTTTTTGTGTGTTAAAAAAGGACATAATAAACAATAACTGAGGCCTCAAGACGGGAGCCCCTAAGCCTTGTTTTGATTAATAGTTGAATGGATTTCTTTGGAAAAACTTTCAGAGCTCTACTAACCAGTGGCCAGATAGATAGATTTAAAAAACATCTTCTAAAATCTGCCCATCCTCTGGAAGGGCACTGGGTAATTTGAAACTAGAGGAAAGGAAAAAAGGGGAAAGTATCCTCTCATTTGTAAACTAGATTTGAAAATCTGTTTGGAGAAGGAGAGAAGTGAAACCAGTGTTGGAGGTTCTTTTCCCAAGTCCCAGGCCGTCACGGCACGGACCCCTGAGCGAGGGATGAGAAAGCCACCACAAGGAAGTGGTGAGTTCAGAAGAGCCTGAGCTGCTTACTGGGCTGTATTGTGCGTGAGCAGCCAAGGGATGAGTCACTTCCTCGGTCACAGTCACATCTGTGTGTGCTTTGTGGTGCAGGGGGACCCCAACAGCGCCTCCGGAAGGCAGGAACGTGCAGAGACAACCAGCCGGAGCTGTGCCTTCTGCCATTGGGTCCCAGAATGGTGAGGGCTTCTTGCTGCTAAACTCCCAGGGTGGGTGGGAGCCGGTGCTGGGATAATAACTCCAGTGAGAGTGGGCGTCAACTAAGTAACCTGGTGCCAGAAGCCACTGGCTCAGTTATAGAATCACAGATCTCAGGGCTGGGCGCATGGCCCAGCTTTCTTTCCAACTTACAAATACCTCTAACAGTGGTTCTCCACTAGGGACAGCATCAAAGTCACCAGGGAGATTTTTAAAGAATGCCAACGCCCCAGCCCCATCTTCTGTATTAGCCGTGTCAGGGGTGGAGCACTGGTGGGAAGTCTTGTTTTAAGTCTCCCCTGGTGATTCTGATAAGTCCACTTGGTTAAGAACCACATGGAGGGTGGTCTGTCCGGCAAGTTCCCTTTGAACATAGCCCAGATGGAACATTATTATACACCACTGTATACCAACTCTCATCATCACTACTGTCTGCTTATGATGAGCGAAAACCTTCCCTGTTGTGTCCAACCAGAAATAAACCTAATCCCGCATCTCAGGGCTTACTTCTCCCCATTCCTCAGCAAGCAATTTTCGAGGTAACAAGTTGTAAATTGTGTACAAAGCTGTAGATGTAAAATCCTAAGGAGAAAGCCTTAATGTTTTAGGAACACTCATTGGATCAACTGTTAGCCCATGTGGATTCGGAATCATTTATTTGAAGCTTCTATCAGCAAGAGGTGGAACCTCTAAGCTCAGGAGGCACCTGAACTGGTGCCAAAGCTAATTTACCTTTGAAAGGTCAAAGGCTAGGAGTCAAGAAAGGAGGAGCTGTTTAGCAACCACTGTTACATGTGTGTAATGGACTCTAATAGAAGCAGATGACAAGGTCTGAAAGACTGAAGTTTCCTGTTAGAAAGCATTCTACCATAGGAATGGGCACTTGGCATAAGTGTTCCAGTGTTTCTCTCCTCTAAAAAAGGAACAGCATAATGTTTGTGCTAAATATCACCGCGTGTCATCTGGTGGGGACCATCACTTTAAACCAACATGTCCGTCAGCAGCTTTGAATCTAAATACGAGGGGCACTAATAACGCTTACTCCCTGAGTCATCCCAGGCCTACCATTTTCTTTTCTTTTCTTTTCTTTTTTAAAGACTTTATTGGGGAATTGGGGGAGGGGAACAGCGTTGGGGAATCAGGAATGGGGAACAGACAAGTTGCTGTCCTTTTGTTCTTCAGTCTAGTTGTGGAGGACATCACTTCACTGGCCCAAGTTGGCACCATCATTGAGCTCTTCCTGGTCGAGGCAGATCAGTCGCCGGCTTCTTGCTTACGCTGGCTGCTGGTTACACACGGTAGCCCATGGCAACCCACTGCCACAGGGGCTGCAGCCTATGCCGTCGCCGGCGACCCATGGCAACCCAGCTCCAGGTTGAGCTGTTGTTCAGCATCTTAGCTGTAGAGGGCAGTGTCACTGGCCCTCATATGTGGGATCTGAACCGGGGCCCTCTGGGATCCCAAGCCAACTCTTAACCAACGTGCCACTTGGCCGGCCCCCATTTTCATTTATTGTGTTAAAATCTAGATTTTGGGGTTTTTAAGGTTTTATTAAATATAATAAAAAACATTTTGACATTTAAAAGACATTTTCATTAAACATTCAAGCTACTAAATGTTTCTCTTCCAAATTCCTAGCCTTGACCCTATAGAACCACTTAAGTACCAAGAGAGAGACCAGTGTTGCAGACTAAATTGACTCTTCCAAGATGGACAAAATGAAAAGAAAAGCACAACCAAGTGTAAAATCAGACCTAACAGTGAATCAACTTCTGGGCAGTAATGAGATACACACAATTTTACATTGAAATCTCAGTGAACAACAGAATCCCTGAGGAATTACTTGAACGGAGGGCGATATACCCTTTACTCCTTTAGAAAATTATCTGTCTCAGATGGGATGTGTTCTCTATGAAGCTTGCTGATGGACATACTGTTTGCAGGGTATTTGCAAAGTGCTATTTATGTGCAGATAAATAACACATATGCTACATGTCAAAGGCTTATGCTTTTGTGTTGTTTCTAATGCAGAACTTTGGATTTAAGCTACTAAACTGTCTTCTCACGTAGAATTGCCCTCGGCTGTTATATTTGGCAAGATGATTACAGCGCACAAAAAAGTTTAGAGGAGGGAGAAAAAGAAAGTCATGTGTTGGACTGAACTTGCTTGAATGAGAGCCAAGCTTTCCACTTTGAAGAGCAGATGTTCAAATGCCCCAGAGGAGGAGGGTGGAGACAGAAAATGAAGTATGAGAAAATATGTGACTCAGGAGGAGAGCCTGTTTTTCCAAGAGGAGGGGAAGAGCTGGCTTCATAGCCCCCCAACTCCACCAACTCTGAGCACCGTGCCTTTCTCCATGAGCAGCAGGCCCAGGCCAGTTAGACCAGCCTGCATTTGCTCACACCCCATCCCGGGGTCAGTCTCATTCCTGCCTACAGGCTCAGTGCAGGATATCTGGGGCACAGAGCCCCCGACACTAAGAATGAGCAGCTTTTCCTGGGGCTATTACTGAATCCCAGGGGCTGAGCAAGAGCCTTAAGAATTGTTATTAATTAGAATTCCTTTGGAGGAGTTAAGGCTTTCTGTGAAGGAGGAAAGAAAGCAAAAGCTAGACAGGTCAGAGGAAGCCTCTGGTAAATCACTGGAGGGCACCGTTCTGATGCCCCCTGGTGGCCTTGTGCAGCTAAATGAAGCCCAGACGTCCCCTAGCCTCTAGCCCCACAGACACTGGACAAAATCCACCTTGCTGGACTTTTTGGACAAATTCCGCTTGTCCGCAGAGCCAAAGCCATGTGACCCAGTACTGACATATAGCACAGCTTCTTCCCCTGATAAGAACTGATTTTGAAAGATGAATACGAAGAGAACTGCAAATTTTATAATTCCCACTTCAAATTTCAATGGCGTATATATATATGATGGTGAGATATTAACCTCTATGGAACAAAACAGATTTACTTTTAATGTTTGGTAACTATATTCCAATCAGGCCAAACTGTGCTGGGTACAATTTCTCACAGGGAAACTCTCAAAGAGGCAGGCAGAGGGGGTCCCTGTGCTGAGGATGGCAGCCACTCCTACATTGTTCCAGGCTCTGATATNTGAAGCTCAGCTGTGGTCAGCCAAACAGGGGCTGAGAGCTACAAAAGGCAGGGCGAGCACGAACCCCTCATGGCCAGCACGCACACACAGGGCGCACGAACCCCAGAGCCAAGGGTGGTGCTTTACACAAGTATCACTGTGCTTTTGCCTTCCAGAAAAAATCTTGAGGCTTCCACGACCTACAGTTCAGACCTTACCACACCCTTACCCCCTTTTCACTCCTGTGGGATTTCTGGCAGCGAGACCTTAAGAAACTTCAGCAGTGTTGAAGAAATGGAATCTGAGGTGAGGACGTAGGAAAAAATCATTCTAGAATCCTTGCAGCTTGTAGGTTTGGTCTTGACCACAAAACTGATGGCTTTTAAATTATTACAGCATGAGGGCATCTGAAAATGCTCTACTAAAAACTATCTGTGCTCAGCACTAACACAGACACACAGCCTGAACAGCCATGTGGTTTGTATTATTCCTAAATTGGTTCCCAGGGAAATTGCCTGGAGAAAGTTTTCTGCGGGTGGTGCCTCAGCTCCAGGATTCCCCCTGGCCCAGGCGCAAAGGCACTGGGGACTGTTCTACCCTCTCACAAGTCCATTCCAGTGACACTGGGTTAAGGCTGCCAGCCATTTCCTATTTTCAAACCAGTAACTCTAATCCCAGGCCATGCCTGTGGGCTGTATCCTGGGCCCTCTCAGTGGTTACAGCCCCAAGTCCCCTTCAATGCACACCACCCCTCACCACCCCCAAGAACTTTTCTTCTTTCTCACAGATCTTTCTCTACAGCAGGAAAATAGCCCAGCAGGTTCCTGATCTAACCCTCTGATTCATGCTCATCAGTCACGTGTTGGGCTTTTTTTCTGTCCCTTGCCCTAAAAAATATATTCCACGTCAGACTGGTTTCCTAGGAAACCAACCCTCAACAACAGAAATAGACCGGGTGGAAAAATAGAACAGTTCAAAAATTCCACCTTGCAGTGTTTAATGAGAGAACCCAGTTAACAGAAACAGTAGTAAATTTATGTAACTAAAATGTGTGGACTTTTCCTNAGGGCAGTGTCACTGGCCCTCATATACGGAATCCGAACCGGGGCCCTCTGGCGTCCCAAGCCAGCTCTTAACCAACGCACCACTCGGCCGGCCCCCACCATGCTTTTAGCCTGAAGGTCATATCACCATCTGTCATCCAGGAAACAGGAAGCTAGTGCTGCTGCTGCCACCAGCATTGCCTCATATCCATGAAGCAGGTAACGGACACTAAAATGTGGAGTCTGAATACTACAGACAGCTCCTGTTGGCAGGAGCTTACGGACCGTGGTACATGGCCTCTGCCTCTTACCTCCCAAATCTTGACCAAACGCAAATCATTGGCAGAATCTAACCTGTTCAGAACCCTACTTACCTTTGAGTCTGCAAAACTTCATTTTTAGCCTTTCATCCCCTGTGGTATGGGATGGCATAGGACATAAGGCCAAGTGCTAAGAGACAATATCTACATACAGTCTCACACTAAACTCAACTCCAGAAGGATGAGTTACCTGTAAAAAAGAAAATGAAACTATCAAAATGTTCTAGGAGAAACAATGGGTGAATTAATAATCTTGGGTGCGAAAGGTATTTCTAAGTACAACATAAAATTCAGAAGCCACAAAGGAAAAGTGATGGATTTATCTACATAAAAATTAAAAATGTGTATCTGTCAGTATTTAAATGCACAAATACTTTCACCAGTTATGTCATTGCTAGAAACTGATATTATAGAATATTTGTGTAAGTTTGCAAAAGTATGTACCCAAACAATGCAGCATTATTTGTAAGAACAAAACTCTGAAGACAAGTGACATATAAAATTATGGCCTATCAACTCATAGTAGGCTCCATAGCTCAGGAGTTAGAGCATTGGTCTTGTAAAATTATGGTGTATCATATGACAGAACACTGTGAGGCCAGGTAAAAGGACAGATTTGAAATGAAGATGTCCCCCTTGTGTAACACGTGCTTCAGGTATGTAACTCATTTTCCCCTTGTATAACACATGTACAGACATCCTTAT